TCAAGACTCCTTGTGTGATACACTAAGAAAGACACGCCACTTATACAATATTCTTGCAAAAAATGGCTAACCTGGATCTAAACTTTGGAAATCAAATCAGACAAATCCACATAGTGAAACATTTTACAAAACAAATGGCCCACAAAAATGGTAGATGAACTCAACAGAATTCATGTCCACAAAAAGACATGTACACATATTTTCACAGCAGCACTATTTGTAATGACCCAAAAGGTGAAACAACCTAAATGTCCATTAAGAGCAGAATGGGGTTGGGCGAGGTGGCTCACGCCGACAATCCCAACACTTTGGGAGGCTGAGGCTAGAGGATTGCCTAAGTCCAGGAGTTTGAAACCAGTCTGGGCAGTATGGCAAGACCTCACCTCAGCAAAAAAATAAAATAAAATAAATTAGCCAGATGTGGTGGTGCATGCCTGCAGTTCCAGCTACTTTGAAGGTGGAGTTGAAAGGTGACACCCAATTGTCGCCTAAGCCCAACAGGTCATGGTTGTGGTAGCCATGAGCATGCCACTGCACTCTAGCCAGGGTGACAGAGTGAGACTCGGACTGAAAAAAAAAAAAAAAAAAAAAAAGAGCAGAATAGTTGATAACAAATAGCCAAATATATTCATACAATCAATAAATTATAAAGCAGTGATAATAAACTGTCACTGTTCATATCAAGAATGAATCTCATATATACATGTTGAGTAAAAGAAGCCAGACACACTTTGTGATTCTCTTTATATAATAAAGTTAGCCGGGCTCGGTGGCTCAGCCTGTAATCCCGCACCTTTGGGAGGCTGAGGTGAGTGGATTGCCTGACCCTGCGGGTTCGCGACCTACCTGGGCAACTTGGCGAGACCTCATCTTTACAATAAAGCAAAAAATTAGCCGGGCGTTGTAGTGTGCGCCTGTAATTCCGGCTACTCGGAAGGCTGAGGTGGCAGGATCGCTGGAGCCCAGCAGGTCGAGGCTGCGGTGGCTGGGAGTGGCCACTGCACTCCAGTCTGGGCGACAGAGTGAGACTCCAACTCAAAAAATAAAAAATTAAAAAAATAATAAAATTTAAAAAAAAGTTAAAAAACAAACTACATTAATCTATAGTATATTCTAAATTAGGATAGGAGAAACCTTGACGGGGTCATGTATGAGGAGGGTTTCTGAGGTCCTAGTAATGTTTGATTTATTGATCGGGGTACTAGTTATACAAAATGTGTTCACTTTGTGAAAATTCACCAAGTTATACACATGATTTGTATACCTTCTGGGACATGTTAATCCAGTAAAAAGCTTTAAAAATATTTTTAAAGACTAGGGAACATTTTTAGGTTAAAGCAGACTAAAGAAACCAAAGAGACAAATCAAAGCAATATCTGTTTCTTGACTGGATCCTGGTTTTGTTTGTTTGTTTTGTTTGTTTTTGAGTCAGGATTTCATTCTGTTTCCCAGGCTGGGGAGAACAGTGGTGTAATCTCGGTTCACCTCCTGGGCTCAGGTGATCCTCCCACCTCAGCCTCCAACAAGTGTGTGCTACCACACCCAGCTAATTTTTTTATTTTTATGCAGCAACAAGGTCTATGTTGCGCAGGCTGGTCTCCAACTCCTGGACTCAAGCAATCCTTACAAATGAGAGCCACTTATGCCTGGCCTTGATTTTTTTTTGTCAAGTGGAAAATTTGAAGTGGATTGTATATTAAATAATATTATTTTATCAATACTTCATTTCTTATGTAATAACGGTACTGTGGTTATATAGGGGGATAACCTTACTCTTAGAGACAAGATAATATTCTAGAATGAAATAACCTGATATCTATAACTTACTACAAATCCTTCAAAAAACAGATATATACCAAGACCAACATAAAGCAAATTCAGTAAAATGTGAGCAGTGCATCTTGGGGAAGCTTTTATGGGAGTGTTACAAGAGTTCTCTGTAGTCGGGCCCAGTGGCTCATGCCTGTAATTCCAGCACTTTGGGAAACGGAGGCAAGAGGACTGCCTGAGTCCGGAGGTTCAAGACCAGCCTGCACAACTTGGCGAGATTTCATCTCTACAATAAATCAAAATGCCGCATGTGGTGGTGTGTGCCTGTAGTTCCAGCTACTTGGAAGGCTGAGGAGGAAGGATCGCCAGAGCCCAGGGGGCCGAGGCTATGGTGGCCGTGAGCATGCCATTGCACTCCAGCCTGGGTAACAGAGTGAGACTCTGACTCAAAAAAAAGAGTTCTCAGTATTATTCTTTCAAAAAGTTGAGAGGGCAAATACCTTGTTTAAACTACTGTTGATTCAAGGGTTTGACAGCTGGGTGCAGTGGCTCACACCTGTAATCCTAGCACTTTGGGAGGCAGAGGCGAGAGGAATGACTGAGCCCATGGGTTAGAGACCAGCCTGGGCAACTTGACCAGACTTCATCTCTATAAAAAAATTAGCCAGGCATGGTGGCACATGCCTGTAGTTCCAACTTGAAAGGCTGAGGCAGAAGCATCGCCTGAGCCCAGCAGGTCAAGGCTGAAGTGACCGTGAGCGTGCCACTGCACTCTAGCCCGAGTGACACAGTGAGACTCGAATTAAAAAAAAAAAAAAGAGTTCGCCAGACTTCCACAACTGTATGTAGAGATTTGGAGAAGGAAACTAATACTTACTGAGCACTTACTATGTACCACGTGCTCTTCACATCTGTAATTTCAGTTAATCCTGACAGCAACTCTCCAGGGTAATTATTTTTTATTTTATTTTATTTTTCAAGAGACAGGGTCTTCCTGTGTTGCCCAAGATAGAATGCAGTGGCTATTCATAGGCACAATCATGGCTCACTGTGGCCTCATACTCCTAGTTTTAAGCAATCCTCTGGCCTCAGTCTCCTGAGTAGCTGGAACTATAAGTGCGCACCACCATGCCCACCTTTAGGGTAATTATTATTGCTCCCATTTTACAGAGGAGAAAAGTGATGCTCAGAAAGGTGGAACATTAAGTCCAGTAGTTGTGAGAGTTTGAGTTCCACCAAAAACCTGTCAGGATACAAGGACAGGCTCTTCCACTCACTCACTGTACTCTTCTCCTTGCCTGCTTCTATGTTCTATATTCTCAATCTAAAAGTTACTGTGTTCAGTGAACCTCAGCAGACTTGAAATCTACGTTCTGTAATACTATTCAATATTCAATAACTGTGAAGCAAGCTGCAGAAAAGCTAATGGGAAAGTAGAGAAATAGGGACTATTTTCTTTCCTACAGGCCACAACAGGCATAGACTAAAATGGACTTTGATAAGAGATAAGCTATGCAAAATGGAGCAATGTGGGGAAAACAGAATAAGGACAAGAAGCAATAAATGAAATTCTAACACGCTATCTTGATGGTAGACTAAAAAGACTATACCACTATGAAAAAGCAAGTATGTCCCTGAAACCTAAGTCACAAAAGACAGCTGGCATTAAACACCAGCATTCAGGGAATTCCTTTAAATTTCAAAGAACTTTCTTCAGAACAGATAAAAGAACAATTTTATTAGACTAGTGGTCAACATATGAAAAAATACCCCAACAGCTTACAGAAGTTAAATAGATCTATCCAAGATCACAGAGCCGGTAAGTAGTAGGGCTAGGATTCCAAGCCAGAGTATCTGGCTTTAGAACCTACGCTTGCAGCCACTGTTCCACAATGCCTCTCCAAGGAAGAGAGGGTTACTCACCCTTAATCTTTTGAAACCAGAAACTGATGCTACAAGGCCCACTGAAAAACTTTCTGGGAGACAGAATACTGGCTCAGCCCTACAAGTCTAACCCTATACAATTCTTCTCACATACAAATCAAGTTTGGGGGAAATAACTAAACAGTCCTTTTAATCTCTCTACTTTGACTGGAATGAAATGGGAAACCAGGTTGATCAAGACTTGAAAATGAAATGACAAGCAATTGCTAAAGAGAGCTGGTCCACTTTAAAAGTGTGCATTTGCAGCTTACTGTTAGTGATAGAAACTGGTATGAAGAGTTCAAGGTTTTCTCCCAGGCTGCCAGCAAATTCTGATGCAATCCCATCTCTACCAGCTTTGAAAAGGGCGAAGGAGAGGCAGAGTTGAAAGTCATAAAAGTGCAAGACAAACACACGTCAAGGACCCTAGATCCTATTCTACATGTATGGAAAGAACAATTTCCAGAACCAAAGGACTCCCTGGGCATGCTAATGGCTCCAAGTGGCAAGATTTGTAGTACCGTTCACAGCACTGACAAATTACATGCCCTATAAGAATCTGGAACTAAAGGCACACTTCAATCCCAGCCTGTGGGTTGTCCTAACACATAGCAGCTCAGAAAAACCGAAATCCTGAGGAGTCCCAGGATTTCAGCAAGCTAAGTGAAGTAAGGCAAGAAAGGAAAGCCCTCCTCTCAAGCCCTCCAAACTCCAGAACGTCTGACAGTGGAAGTACAGAATCAGTCCTAGCTACTTTCCACATTTTACAATCCAGAAGACAACTTCCTGAAGCATTCACACTGCCAACAGCCGCTGGTCTGGAGGACACACCAACTTCTTTAAGTGCAATGCCTGTAATAGACTCACTAGGAAGAGTAAGACAGTAAGAACATGAAGTGGTGGTCTTCTGCCTAGGAAGAAAGTGAAATGCTAGCAACCTGCTGGAAACTCTTAAAAGCGTTTGAAGAAGATGAGAGGTGAGTAAGTCCCAAGTTGAAACCATTTTCTTCTTCCTCGGTGCAATGCTACCTAAACTTAAACACAAAAGGCTGACTGTGGAGTCACACATACCTGGGTTCAATACAAGTTCAATAGGGCACACGTTTTGGGGCATGTTACAAACCCTTAGGATTCATTTCCGCGAAACGGGCGTTAATAGCCTGCACTTTGTAACGGTTGTAGTGAGCCCTAAACGAGACACTAAGCGTAATTTGTCCTCGGCATGATAGCACATACGCAGTTAGATGTAGGATCTCCGGCAGCCCTTTTCAACCTCCGACCCCACCCCACCTTTGGACTATAAACACCTTCGGAGGCCTTATCATCCACTGCCTCCAGACAGCAGACGCGCAGACGTCCACACAGCGGTCTCCTTACTAGAGTGGGATCTGGCTGAATCGGTAGGTGAAGAGTTGAGCCTTGGTCAACCAAACCCAGGGAAGCGAGGATGGATCCTCTGCCAAAAGCTTGGTGGCGTGGGTTATTTACAGCGCGTCCCTTTCCAACCCACGCACCGAGAGGGTCCAAGTATAGTATTTCCGACCCTCCAACTTGGCAAGGGAGGCGCAAAGGTGATTAGAGACTGGCAGCCACTCCAGAGAGCTGAGGCTGTCGGGGAGTGGGAACCCCGATTGATTCGGGCCCCTCCCCCGAGGGGACGGCCGGGAGCGATCCTCTCATCCCCCTCCTCAAGCAGGGGCCCTCGTAGCTCAAGACTGGGGACTTCCGAAGGGTTCCGCCACCCTCCTCGCCAAGCTCCAGTGGCACCAGAAGGACTGGCAGGCGGGAAGTGGGGGCCGGCGGGCGTCGCTGAGCGCCGGAGCCCGGTCTTCGGAATGTGGTCAAAGAGGGGTCACCGGGGGAGGGGCCAGGCGGGGAGGACTCGGGGAGGGGCGGGGCTCGAGAGGGGGGAAAAGGTGGGAGCCCCCGGCTGCGGAGACTCGGGGGTCCCTACCCGGCTCCCAGCCGTCCGCCGAGCGCCCTCTCCTGCCAGGGTCCCCGACGCCACGGCGGGGCAGTCCCACTCCCCTCACCTGGCTCGGCTGCTCTGCCTGCTCCGAGGACGCCATCTTTCTGAGGCCTGACTAATCGATCGCCGCTGTGAGAGCTTTCTCCCAAGCGCCTTAGCTCGCGCTTTGCCGCCCAGACTAATGTAGCCGGAACAGAGCCTGTCGATGGGGAAGGCTTGGGGCAGAGGGTGGAACCTGGGCGACCGGGTCACCTTGCACAATTTCCATTAAGTCTCTGATTTACAGGAAGATCCGAAGTATGCAACCTTTTGCATGGCTTATATGTGTATTATTCTCCTTGAATTAAATCTCTGCCCGTCCCCACAGTGCCGTGGGTACATTTAGGGACTTGCTAAGTGTTTAAGAAATGAATGAATGTGAAGAAACTTGGAAAGTAATTTTTAGGGATAACAGTTCATTACCATTCATTGAGTGCATACTCTTGCAAGGAGCTTTGGTAAGCGCTAGAAATAAAAAAGATCCGAGACCCAACTTCTACTCCCAAAGCCACACAATTACAGGATCATGGGGGTTAGGACTCAGAAAACTGTATGCAGGTCTACTGGGCGAACACACAAGAAGGAGCTTATAAAAGAGAAGAGACTTCTATGAACCGTGATTACTTTATATTGAATTACTTTATAAAGGATTGACTTTAACAATTCTTCTGACCAAACACTGCTTTAAATGCCTACACTTTTCTTGAGATAATATCTAATTTCCTCACTCACATATTTATAAAGAAAATATGGCCGGGTGTGGTGGCTCATGCCTGTAATCCCAGCACTTTGGGAGGCGGAGGCAACAGTATTGTCTGAGCCCGGAGGTTCGAGACCAGCCTGGGCAATATGAAAAGACCTTGTTTCTACAATAAATCAAAAAATTATCTGGCCATGATGGCATGTGCCTGTAGTTCCAGCTACTTGGAAGGCTGAGGTAGAAGGATCACCTGAGCCCAGCAGGTCGAGGGTGCAGTGACCATGAGTGTACCACTGCACTCCAGCCTGGGCAACAGAGTGAGATTCTGACTCAAAAATAAATAAGTTTTAAAAATAAAATATGAAAAGTACTGCCCCTGAATGAGTATGAGCAGACAATTATTTCTAGTTTATATAAAAAGTTCTCTTTTAACCGAGGAATCTTTTTTTTTTTTTTTTTTTAGAAAACAGGATTTATTGAAAGGACAGAAAATCTCCCACAGTAGGAGGGGACTGGAAGGGGTTGCTGTGAGGAATCTTTTTGATAATTTTTATTATTATTCTTTTAACCTTAAATGTTAGTTTTTTCAGGAGGAAAGAAAACATTTCTGTAGTTGCAGTATTAAAGCAAAGCTGGGCCAGGCATGGTGGCTCAAGCCTGTAATCCCAGCACTTTGGAAGGCCAAAATGTAGGGACTGCCTAAACCCACAGGTTCAAGAACAGCCTGGGCAACTTGGTGAGACCTCATCTCTACAATAAATCAAAAAATCAGCCAGGTGTGGTAGCACACACCTATAGATCTGGCTACTTGGAAGGTTGAGGCGGAAGGATCACTGGAGCCCAGCAGGTCAACACTGGGGTGGCCATGAGCATGCTACTGCACTACAGTCTGGGCGACAAAGTGAGACTCCAACTCAAAACACACACACACACACACACACACACACACACACACACAC